TGTATTTTCTATTCCTTTGACATTGTTGTCTTACCATTGATTTGGTAAACAACCCTATCTTTGGATGTGAACGGGACGAGCGTGGGTCATCTTATAACCATGATTAGCAATGTTGCAAAGTATCTTAGCATTTTTGAGGGACCAAGATAATTTTGTAAGGCGACTTTTTGAATAGCGTCATCGATGGACTATGATCTTATATTTATTTTGTTTTGCCAAGATACTTCCCATGCGTAACATGACCATTTTTGTTTTAGGAAACCAAGTGGAGAAACCCTAAGGATTCTTGTGTGCAGGTGTATTATTTTTCGAGCTTTGATTTTGTCTTGTATTTTAGGGTGTTCTATTTTGCTTTGTTTTGATCTTATCATACAAACCCTAATTACTAATCAAGACATGTAAAGCTATAAATTGCATAATGTAAATATTACTAAGCTATTACAACAATTTTATGGGAGGGGGGATACAAATTTGAATGGGGATTTTCAAGAATGTAAACCTAAATAAATTATTACAACCAAATCGAATTTGTACGAATTAAAATAAATACAATGCAATATTTAAAGATGCAATATAATATACATGTAAGAAAAGATTTTTATTTTGTTTTTATGTAAAAGAAAATTTAATCTAAACCTAAAATTATAAGGAAAAGAAATTAATTTTTAAAAGGGAGGCTTAACCCTAATTATTATTTTAAAAGAAAATAAAGTTCCTAACATATTATTTTTTAAGTATTCTTTATATTAAAATAATAAATAATATTATATAAAAATATAAAATTTTATATATGAAAAAATAAATATTTATAAGTATGAAATGAAAAATAAATTAAACTAAATATGTATTAATTATATTTTACAAATTTATTAAGAAAATATATGATATCTATTAAAATAAAATATATTTTTATGTGAATAATAAAATAAAATAAAATAAAATGCAATATTATGAAATTTACATTTTTTAGGATTTTTATGTATCAAAGAAAATATTTAATATATTAAAAATGAAAATAAAACAAATAAAATAAAAATATAAAAAGTTGGCAAGGGGGTGATGTAGCAAAGCTGGTAGTAATGTTAGCAAAAAAATCATGGCCCAAGGAACTAAGCCCAAACCTGCAAAAAGTCACAAAAACTGAAAAATGGCAAAAATATGGAAAACCAAAAGTAGCGCCCAAGTTCAAACCCAGGACATGGATCTTACCAGCGCGCTACTTTGCCACTGAGGTGGCTATATATCCATTGTCTTAAGGAAAGCAAAAATAATATAACCCAAAACAAGTCCTTGCCCTATACTTCATCTTCTTCCTCAAGCTTGGCCAGACATCATGTAACTCTCTCATACTTCCATGAAAATGAAAACTTATAACATGAAAGTTGTAGTATTTGAACTCACGATTCCAACCATATAAGTTATGTGAACCAACAATCAAAGGTCAGAAAGAATTTTAACAGCCCTAAATTTAAACCTAATATTTTCAGAAACTTCAAGTTCTAAATTCTCTCAACTCAAGTAAAATAAATGCAAGATAAAGATATGTACATTTTCGTTGCAATGAGGGCTATATTTTTTTATTCACAAATCGTGGCCAATGGTTGCCTGTATAAGGAGATAGAAGTTGAGATTTTACCTCCTTCAGTTGAAATCATGTATGGAACTGGAGCGAGTTTGATGGAGGCCTGATGCTTGCTTGAGCTTCCTTGAACTTCCCTGAATGTATTCCAACCCCTGCCTTGCTCTGAAAGTGCCTGAAACTCCTTGGCCAAGTCAAACTGCAAGATTTGAAAGCAACAACGGAAGATGATGGAAAAGTGGTTACAAAACAGGGATGAAGGTCTAGATTGGTTTGATATCAAGTAGGTAAGATGTTTTAATAATCAAAACTTGAAACGCACGAGCCAAATGGAAGATGGGTATGCTTATGCCAAAACTGCATGTTTGGACATATTTTTAGTGTTTTTGTGCTTAGGAGTGTTTCAAGCCTTAACTAATCCTCCTCTGTATTGTGTTATGTTTGTATATTAGTATGGAATTGGTTTCATGTGAACCCACTACAAGAAAAATGATAGATTGGGACGGTTATTTTGGCTGATTACGACGGTTAAAACCGTCGCAATTTACAATCTACGACGGTAGAAGTACCGTCGCAGAATCGTGCGTCCCCAACCTATTTCGCGACGGTTGCAAAACTGTCACGCACAACAGATAGCGACGGTTATATACCGTCGTGAATTTGACTTTATTTTTTGTTTTTGTTGTTGTTTGCGACGGTTATTCTACCGCCGTAAGTTAGAAATTGCGGCGGTTTTAACCGTCGTAATCTGATTTATAAATTTCAAATAATATTTTTATTTAAATTATTATTTAGTAAAATAATTTTAAATATAATATTATTTTACTATAATATTTTACTATTATATTTAAATTATTATTTACTTTAATATTTTTTTATTTATAGTATTTTTATTTTATTTTCTATCACTTTTCAACATAATAAAGTTAATTACAATAAAAACATTTAATATCAAATAATCATCAATAATATCAAATAATCATCAATAATATCAAATAATCATCAATAATATCAAAAAAATGTGATCAAAGGTAAAAAGAAGTGCAAATTTTACCAATAAACAAGAAAAATTCAAATATCATCAAAGGCCAAATTTCATTTTAATATTTACATTGGTTTGCTACAACTTGAGAGAATTACAAAAAATGTTACAATATTCTACAAAATTCATGAAAGTCCTTAGTGTTAAGTGATTTTGTGTTAAACTTCCATGCTAGGACCATGATCCTTCCTTGACTACCATTTGGTCCAAGCTACGCATACCTAGCAGCCTGCAAGATTCACACAAAACATAGGCAATATCTTAGGGCAAGTTTAAACAAACTTCTAACTTCTAGAAACTTTTCAACTGAGTTATGTATTCAGCTCCTAATTTCTTTCACAATATAAAGGTTTCACATGTCTTAACTTAATCGTGCTTTAACTCAAGCTTCTGCACTCCAATGTGGCTTCACATATTCATCAACTTCATGATAAGCGCCGTGCAACAAAAATCCATGAATCATGCCATGAACAAAACCTGCATAAGACCAAGACAGTTTTGCATTAATTCCACCGATGGAATTAGCGTCAAAACAAAAGAAAACATAAGCCAATTGATATTTAAATAGAAGCAGACCCGCAACCATAAATAAACAGCCCATACACATCATACATCCAATCTGATTCATTCATTCATTTCAACTTCACCATGCTTATGCAGAAGAAATCTCAAGCTCAGCCCACCAAAGTGGAGAAAGTTTAGGAACTACAAACTCAGACGACATTTTCGTTATTTCTCTCAATCTCTCACTCACTTCATTCATTCTCGGTCTCTTCTCCGAATCAGGATCCACACAATCTTTTATCAACTCCGCAACTTGTTCCACCTGATTCTCTTGGTAAGATGCTAGAGTTGCATCCACCATTTCCTTCATAGGTTTGTCCCATTTTAGATAATGTGCTGCCCAGTTTTCAGCTGAGCTATTATCCAGCGAATAAGGAATCCGACCGGTTACTATCTCGAATAACAAAACACCAAAGCTATAAACATTACTCGCTGGACTTGTTGATTGCGTCATATCAATATCAATGTCTTTTCTACCATCAGGTTTCTTTTCAGATGAATCTGTTTCGCGGGAGAAACTCAAATCCGAGATTTTTGCTGCATGATCATCTGTTAGATGGACAGTTGAAGAACTCAGATTGGTAAGGGCCACAGGAGGGTCTAATCCATGCATGTATTGTAGGCAGTAAGCCATTCCTGTCGCAATTCTAAGTCTCGGTCCCCAGTTCAAGTGCTCAGCTTCTTTCACTGCAATTTCAAACATGATCAAATAACTCAAACATGTTTGCCTAAACAGAAACATCTTCATTAAGCGCTACTAACGGGTACTCACCGTGTAAATGCTCGAATAGTGTTCCATTTGGCGCATATTCAAAAACCAACATTCTGGTAAAAGGTTCTTCTTCTTCACAATGTCCAATAAGATTGACAAAATTCCTATGGTTCACTTTTGATAGTGTGTCTATCTGAAAACCACAAATAATTGCTTCTATAGTTAAGTCACAATTGATATATGCTTAAATTGCAGCTTAACAAAAAATTGAAGTTGGTCAGTTTTGGTACCTTGTTCTTAAACTGAGCTTCTAAATTCTTTGTCCAAGTCTTGGATAATGTCAGAGAAACAGAAGCTACAGCAATTTCAACTCCACTAGATAAAGTTCCTTTGTACAATGTACCAATCAGTGATTTACCGATTACATTACTAAAATCTTCACATGCTACTTCAAGATCTATTCTCTTTAGCTTTGGCACACCTGTCACAAGTGCTTTTTGAAGCTGTCCACTTATTCCAGTAGTCCAAGGTTTAACAATAGATACCTTGTTGGTTTTTGAAGCCATGCATATATACAAAATTAACCATATCCAGTTCAGTTCATTATACACAATGGACATACTAAAGAAATCATTCAATCATACTTCATTTAATTCAGCCTTTAAACCAGTTTGATCCATAAACAAAAACCGATTTGCAACGGTTCAATTCATCCAGTCCAAACTTGATTCACTTGAACCTAAACCTCTGATAATCAAACCTTTCCAATCACTAATAGAAAACCAGAAGCAAAAATTAAAAACAATTAACTTCGTAGATTTCGCATCTTACCAGCTCAACCTTTCATCTGAGTTAGCCTTGCAATTTAACCAACCTTTCCCTGAAAAAACAGAAATCAGACTCGAGTCATATTAGGCACGTTCGAAACTACTACTAGAGGTTCAACATTAGACTTAACCTTTAACAATCCTTCCTTTAACAATTCAAAAGCTAACTATTTATCCTCAGCTTTGATCTTCCCCTTTTCAAGCAAAATCTCTGCATAACAAATATGCATGTAGAAACTTCACTATAAGACATATTTGGCTGGCTGCAAATAGAACTTATTTCTGCAAACAATGAACACACGGCAACACAGATGAAACAATCACATTTCCACGCATAATGAAGTTGCTCAACAAAAATTGAAAGAAATAATGTTACCTCAACAAAAGGGCGGAGTGGCTCAGGAAAATAACATGCAATAACAGCAACAGCTGCTTCTCTATATGCCAATCTCAGTCTCAGTTCTTCAGGAATTTCTGTAGTGTCCTCTTGCCCTGTTTCAAATGTTCCTTTTTGCTGCAAATCCATAAGTTTCATTAGATGGTGTAAAAATGCATTAAACATATCATAAGAAATTGCTGAGTCAGAAAGAAGCTGAGAAATCACAAACCCTTTTTAATGCCTCAAGCAACTCGTCACGCCCAATATAATCCAAATCCTTCCTGGCCGTTAAAATTCCAGCTTCGTTCCTGTCATTTATTCGTGATCTGTCAGTCTATATTCTGATGATGGATTGATGCAGAAACTTCTATCAAAGATTATTTACAGTATATTCTGCAGCTCTGCCCCAGTAAAATCTTCTGTTAGCTCTGCAATTTCGTTAAGCAGAGTATCTTTTTCTTCTTCTGAGCGAAAATACTTATTCATAGCATGCACCTAGTTTGCACTATGCACCAAAAAGAATAGGAAAAAAGAAATTTAAAATATTGAAATACTATAGACTGATCCCAGTAAATCAAGGTTTTGGAGGTAAAATACCTTCAAAATGGCAAGTCTTCCATCTCTTAAAGGCAAACCAACTCTAATGATCTTGTCGAAACGACCCTTCCTCAAAAGAGCAGGATCAATAATATCCAATCTATTTGTAGCACCTATCACAAGCACCTGAAATTCAAATTCAGTATATCAAATAACATATTTGTGATCTTGGAATTTAATTAAAGCTTACCTGTGCTGTGGAAACTTTGAATCCGTCCATCTCAGTCAGTATCTGAAGTAATCCTTGTTCCCTTTCAGCACCTCCCTATGTAATTTATGGACAATGAGAGTTTAATTGGACAGAAAAAAGTGACCACCAACAACACCATTATTTTATAGGACACCTCACTTGTCAATGTTGATTATTGTCAGTTAGAGATAAAACACTGACATCAGTTCTAGAACAATTGAGATTTCAAAATTAATAATGTAGTTTAGTTCTATAATGTGGATGAGGAAGTGGTTAACTTTATCTTCAGGACCTTTGACAATAATGGAATAAAGTTTAATAACTTGGGTGAAAGCAATATAAAGCAAAAACTATTCATATGCATCAATTTCTAGATGAAAACCTTTATCTTCTCTATAACCCTAATTTTCATCAAGCAAAGTTACATTAAGATAAAATCATAGCTAACACAATAAGGGTTTTTGCTTCTGAATTGAATCATAGAAAAAAGAAACATAACCTGTTTGATAGCACTGGAAACAGAGAGAGTGGTGCTTTGATTGAGGCATTCAACACCAATCCAATCTATGAAGCCTAAGAGATCAACCTAATCAAAAGTATATGAACTAGGTTAGAACTTGTGTACCCTAAATCAAATAAGATAAACTTGACGATGATCATAATAGTGAATGATAGAGTTTGAATCTTACTTGACCCTTGTGAATAGCGGTGGCGGATTCTCCAGACATTGCTGCTGATTTGTGCGACACGGAATACCTTCTTTGTGCGACTTCAAAGAGAGATCTTCCCCTTTGCTTAGAAATCGAAGGAGGCCAGTACGAAGATCTCTAGAGGAAATTTGATGCTTTCGATTGGATATCTCAGATCTGACACGTAGTCGTCTTTATGTACAAAGGAGTTTGTGATTCTGAAAAGAAAAGGAAATTGCGGTAGAATTTGAGAATCTTAGCGCGTGAATTGAAAGAACGTTACGAAAGGTTGAGAACGATCATAAATCTGAGCCGGGTCGGTTCTTAAACCGTCGTGGGATATGATACGTTCCAGCCAAAGGGACAGTGAAAGGAACAATCGTGAAACAAGATGCGTTAAAAAGATTTCTTGTTTTTTTAAATATATTTATATGCTATAATTCTATTTTTTATTGAATATCTATTGACATTACTATTATATTATTTAAATACTACTAATATTAATATAGTTACTATTATATTATATAACTACTATTAATATAATTAATAGTTAGTAAGTAATATTATAATACTAATATTATAATTAATTAATTACTATTATTATATTTAATTAATAAAAGTGAAAAGATGGAAAAATAAAACAAATGGAAAAAAGTGAGAAAATAAAATAATAACAAAATATTAATTATGATTGGTCAAAGTAGTCGCGACAATCTGTTATACTGGTCGCGAGTGTGGAAAGAGGGCAGTTCTTTGGCAACTGTCTCAATTATGTTACTCAATATGCTTAAAAATCTACGACGGTTGGCTCTAACTGTCGTGACAACTGTCGCAGTCCAAGAATAAGGACGGATTTATGGGAACCGTCGCAACTCATGTGTCGTAAAACTCATTTTTTCTTGTAGTGACCCTCTAACATTTGTGCCAGTTCTAGCCTTTTTGCAGCTTTTCTTGCATTTGAAGTAAAGTGAAGGGACAATGCTTGCCATGCTTGTACTTGCTCTCTTAGGGTTGGTATCAGCTTGTACAATTTGCTTTACACCTGTGAGACTTGTATGTACAATGGAGATAGGTCTGATGCTCAAGAATTGGAAAGTGGCAAAAGTTGTGCTTTTTCAAAATGGCAATGGTCACTTTATGCCATTTATGGAATTTCAACTTGGGTAATGGCTCTAGGGCATGGATCAAAGCTTTGTCAACTGAGTAAGCATTAAATTAAGGAGTGAGGAACAATTTTAGGACCTGTAAAGCATGGATTAGGCAGCATAGGTACTTGTTGCAACTTTGTTCTTCATGAAATGGCTTGGACAAAAAGTGAGAAATTTCCAACTTCATCTCTTCGATTCTCCCTACTCAAAAATGATCTTGAGGAGTTCTTGGATATTTTGGAAATCTTGCAATGTGCTATGTAAATCATCTTTGAAATGCATTTTGAGATACCTCTTGGAACTAGGTGAGAAATTTCCATGAAGTTGGGTCCAAAACCTGCCTAAATTAGAGCAAAATTTCACTAAGTTATTTAGTTCATGATCATGTATTCATAAATTTATATCTTTAGATCTAAGCATCTTTAGGGAAAAGTGAGTTAAGCAAAGTTGTATATTTAATGGAGTTCTACAACTTTCATGTTGGGAACTTTCCTTGAATCATTATGCATCTTGGTGAAAAAATGTCCTAAAGTTGAGAAAAAATAAGAAATTTTCTATACTTAGAAAATTTTCTAAGATAAGAGAAATTTCAAATTCAAACCCTAATCTTAAAACTTGGATTTCTTGATGAAAAAGTTTCACATTTTGACAATTTTTGATGAATTATGACCCTTGGTACTTGATTTTGACCAAAAAGTCAAAGTTTGACTTTTCAGTGTACAATTGAATTTTGATCAGTTGACTGCAAATTTCATTTGTCAATCCAGTGAAATTGCAATGTTTTGAACCATGCCATTAGGTCAAGATGATGCCATTGAATCCTTGAAATCATGCCTTAACTCAATTGGTCATTTGCTAGGTTAAAAAAAATCAGAAATTGCCCTTCCTCAGTCAAAACCCTAATTTTGACCAATTTGCCCTTTTGATGATTTGATCAAAATGCTTGAGGAATTATGATCCAAACTTGACCAAATGACACATGTGAGTCTAAAATGTTGATGTTGATAAAAAATTATGAAGTTTGACTGTAAATTGGCCATGGTTGACTTTTCCCCCAATACAACTGATTTTCAAGTCAACTGTCCAGTTGACTAATCAAAAATGTGGTTCAAGGCTTAAAACTTGTCATGAGTGATCTTAGGGATCCATAATGATGTTTGAAAGTCATATGAAACATTGATAGTCCAAAAATCTTTGTGCAAACTCAAACCTTAATTTTGGGTTATCAGTGCAAGATGAGATGTCTTGAGTTGACCAAACCCTAATCCAGTCTTGAGTCAGAGAGATCTTGTGAGAAAAGTCTTGATAAATGAGAGGGAAAATTTTGGGGTATAACAGTAACAAATTTTGGGAACTGTCTTGGTTTTATAGATTCCATGTGCTGAGCAAAAGTAGGAACACTCCCTTGATCCTCGTTCTTCAATCATGGAGAATTTTCAACAAATCGTGCGCTTCATGGAGACATTTTTGTAACTTATATGTGACTTGTAACGAGTGTCATACGCTGTGGCATGGGGCACGTATTTTCATTTCATGACGGTCGGGACAAGAAGTGTGCCGAGGGGCACACTTTTGGACTTGTGACGGGCGGGATGCGCCTGTGACGGGCGACATGACTTCTGATACAGAATGTTTGCGTTTTTGCTGCTAAAGAGCCATTTCTTCTTCATCTCTCCAATATTCTTCTTCCTTTTCTCATGTAAGCTTTGCAGAAAACTAAATACCTGAAATATGCTACAAACACTACAAATAGAGACATAACGTGACACAATAAACGAAGAATCAGAAGCTTTATCTATGTAAGTCGGGCGGAAAATGCTATAACTTTTCGTGTTATCAAACCTTCAAGGTTATCTCCTCATCAAATGATTTTAAAGCCATATTACCTATCTCGATATCAAAATTGCACCGACTAGTCAACATAAATGGTCAATCAATAATGATAGGAGTCTCTTCATTTTCAGGAATATCCACGATCTAGAAATCAACGGGAAAGACAAAATTGTCAATTTCCACCAATACATCTTCCGCTATCTGGTATGAATGCTTGATGGTATGATCAACAAATTTTTATTTTGTCCCACTCTCGCTTATCGTTTCAATACCAAGCTTTTTGAAAATAGACAAGGGCATTAAGCTTACACTAGAACCAGAATTAATAAGAACCCTATTGAATTTTCTGTCTTTTATTGTGCACGGTATTGCAACATTCCCTAGATCCTTCTGCTTGATAGGGATTTTCCTCTCGGGCGTGATTGTACATAATTTCTCACCAACGGGTACATGTACATCTTCTACTGGTCTCTTTTTTATAGTACCTCCTTCATGAGTTTCTGGTACAAGAGAATTTTCTCGAGTACTTCAAAGAACGGTATGTTGATCTCTAGCTTTTTGAACAATTTGACAAATTTATCAAAGCTTTTCTTTTTTGTGTCCTTCTTTGCCACTCGAGAGGGATGCAAAAACTTAATCACTAGTTTAGTCTTCTCTTCAGCTGGCTTCACAGGTGATACCACTTCTTGTTTTTTCTTGTTGCCACTCACTTCCAACTCTACTTCTATGATATGATCATCAAATTTTACCTCCTCTTCTTTTCCTTTAGCAACTTTTTCATTCCTTGTGGTGACAACATTAACATTCTCATGAAGTTTTTTATTTTCTTATACTTGTAGAGATGATTGATGTGCAATCTGTCCCATTTGAACTTCTAATTTTGTTATTGCAGCTGTGGTATTCCTGTGATTTTTCCTTGTCTCTTCTTGAAATTGAGAGGTGTGGGTAGCCATCTTTTCAATAGCCACCTCCCACGCTGCCTTCTGAGGATCTTGTTGTTGCTGATCTTTCTAGGAGAAGTTAGGATGATTCTTCCATCCAGGATTATAGGTGTTAGAATATGGGTTATTCTGCTTCAATAATTTTATCTCCTCAATTTATTGTATAGTTGCAATACATACACAGTAATGTGTCGTCCACTAAAAATTTCACAAACAACATTTTGTACCTATTGAACCTGAGCTACCTGTTAATTACCCATGTTCATTACTTTTAGCTTTCTCTCCACTTCTACAGCAATTGCTTCTTCAATTTTCAGTTGCTTGTTAACTTCTAACTTCAGATCAATCACCCCCTTTGGTTTACTAACAACCCTGTCATACAACTCCATATGCTCATTTGCAGCAATGGCTTCAACAATCTTCTTTACACCAGTGGCTGTTGTAAAGTTGGATGAGCCACCGATTGTTATATCATTAAGCTGCTTTGTATTCATTCGGAGGCAATTCACAAACATCTACATTTTCTTAGTTTCATCCATACTGTGAGTGGGACAAGCTACCAATAACCTCTTGAACCTCTTGTAAGCATCACCTAGCGACTCTCCTTCTTTCTGCTTAAAATTCACAATATCATATCTTTTGCAAATGTAAACAGAAGCAGGAAAGTATTCATCAAGAGAAGTCTTCTCCATCTGTTCCCAAGTAGTAATACTCCCAGCCGATAATGAGTAAAACCACTCTTTAGCATCTTCAGACAGCGTGAATGGAAACATTCTCAATTTCTTTTCCTCATCAGAGTGCCCCTCAATTTTCAAAGTAGTGCTCATAGTGAGAAACCTTTCCAAATGTTTATTTGCATCTTCATTTATCTTTCTAGTGAAAGATCTATTCTCGAGCTGGCAGATGGTTGAAGGGTGTAGTTAAAAATTTGCAACAATTACCGGTTGATTCACGACAGTCAACCGACTTGCTAGAGCATTTTCTCCTTCATAGTCCCCAAGAAGTCTCTCTGGTGATGGTGGATTTTCACCCATAGATTCGGGTTAAGATTCTGAACCTGAGTCTGTATGAACTGAATGTTCTTCGTCGGAGGCCAGTCTAGCTAGCCGATCTTGAT